GATCTAACTAATTATGAATAACTTTACCTTCTAGTTAATATCTTTACACAGCCTCTGCCACACATGTTATAGTCATAATTGTTTGACTGAAAAAATGTGCTCAAATGTGTCTGTTTTCATTGCTGTGCTTCAGGTTTAGGGGTGTATTTCTTAGGTCCATTTTTAAAAACTCTTGTTGGTAAGACGATTCACTGTGGTAACTATGAAAGTAATGTGGATAAGTGAAAGAACAGTGCCATCAGCGTGGAGACCCTGCGTGGAGAGGCCAGGTCCAACGCGGCCCCTTGTTGGTCTTCCCTTGCTGTCACCCATGCTCCAGCCTTCCTGAAAAATGGCAGAAGCAGTCCTTCAACTCTCTGGCCCCACGACCGGAATGAATGAATGAATGAATGAATGAATGAATGAATGAATGAATGAACAGAGAATATCTTCATTCTCACTCTCAATTCAAAGAGACCATGTTCTTTTGATCCAAAAAAAAAACCTTTTTGACTACTCCTGGCACGTAGTACTTGCCTTGAGAATGGATTCTCTTTCTCAGATGCCCACATGTTTCTCTAGGCTATACATTCCAGTCTGTCTATGCAGATCTTGGATTTGTAACTGGCAGATTGTGAAGAATGCTGTTTCTTCATAAGACGTTCTATGCAAAATGTAGGTTGTGATTTGCTAACAAGAAGTACTGTTGCTTTAAATGTAGATTACTCTGGCTTAAGTTTCTTTGGGGAAAGAATAACTTTGGAAGAGGAGAAAAGTCCATCTCATCCAATTAGAAAACTGTGCATGGAAGTCCCTGCCGCTGGTTGCAGATAAAGTGATACACTGGATGTCTCACCTTCAGTTCTGTGGTGGAATGAAGAACACAGGATGGCGGGAAGTGTTTTGTGCCTGGGTTGGCAGGTGAAGAGTCCTCAGCTTGACGGGTGCCTAGACCTGGTGCTTGGAGTCAGAGCGGCAACTTGGAATCTTACCAGGTCCAGGGACAGGCTTTGACCTGGATCCTAGACACTGGGGTTCCAGCCATGGGTTGGTGAATGAGCCTGAAAGAGGGAATCCGTGACCTAGAATGCCAGATTGGCCCTGATGACTGGGGACGCAAGCCCTGCGTCAAAGCTGGAACCCACAGTTGGAATCACAGACTGCAACGTCCCTCTGCCCCTTGGCAGCCTCATCCATCCCAGGTAGTGGAAGGCAGTAGCACTTTGTCCCAGAGGAGTCTGAGCAGGAAGCTGTTCTCATTAGCACTGGGCATCCTGAGACACTGGGCAGAGCCCTGAGTTGGAGTGGTGGCTGCCCAGGCAGTGTAGGGCCTGGAGCTGTGAGAGGGGCTGGCTTGCGTCCAGCTGGGTGTCTGTCAGACTGCCTAGAGGGTCCGAGGCTTGGAGTTCAGTGGTGACTCTTCCCCCCGACGTGGTGAGGCTGAGCCTCCAGGCTGCATCTTGCTGGGCTGGCTGTTGAGTTCACATGGGCACTGGGTTTTGTGTTTGTTTTGTTTTTCATTTTAGCAACATTCGCTGTGCTATGTGAGAGCTCTGAGAGGCATAGGCACAAGCTCAGGTGATGTCTTAACCGACAGCAAGTGCCCCGCCCCATCCACGGTGGTATCAGGGGTGGCTTCCCAGAGGAGGCGGCGTTGGAGCTGGACACGCAGGAGTCGTGAAATGTGAGCCTTCCCAGGGAGATAAGACAGCACAAGTGAGGCCTGCACAAGCAGAGGGCACAGTGGGGTGGGCTCTGGGTTGGTTTGACCAGGAGTCCGGCATCGTTTTCGCCTGTTAGGCCGTGGCAGGCATGGTTAGTTGGGTGAAGCCCAGGTAGGACTAGCAAGACACATGGCTGGCATCTGAGGGAACTGGCACAGCCTTGCCACGTGTTGTCACCAGCCTCGCTTCATCTGGGGGTGGGGGCAGACCTGAACCTGGATGAAAGTGACCAGGAGCCCAGCACAGGCACTGGTGACTGCAGACGGAGGCGGCAGGATGCGAGACTCGAGAGGGACAGGCTCATGGCAATGCTGACTCTGTGTGTTAGCTCTGATTTTTAAGAAGTGAACAAATCTCCAAATACAGTAAATACGGTTGTGTGTCATCTAGGGAAGGGTTGCATTCTTGGAAATGTATCCTTAGGTGATTTCCTCCTGTGGGAACATCATAAAGACTCTTACACAAACCTGGATGGTGCAGCCTACTGCATACCTAGGCTCAGGGTATGGCTGGTGGCTCCAGGTTACACGCCTGCACAGCACGTGACCACACTGGATTCCGTAGGCAGCTGGAACACAGTGGTAAGTGTCTGTGTATCTAAACACATCTGAACATAGAGAAGATGCAGTAAAAATATGGTATTGTAATCTTACGAGACCATGGTTGTATATGCCAGCGATCCCCAACCTTTTTGGCACCAGTGACTGGCTTCATAGAAGACAGTCCTTCCACGGAAGAGGAGGGGGGGTCCCGGGATGACCCAAGTGCACCGCATGCACTGTGCAGTCCAGCCTCTCTGCCAGTGACAGTCTGTACCTGCAGCCACTCCCAGCGCCAGCACCGCCACCCCAGCTGCACCCCCATCACCAGGCACCGGAGTCTCACAAGGAGCACTCACCCTAGATCCCTCCCACGTGCAGTCTGCGCTAGGGTTGGTGCTCCTGTGAGAATCTGAAGCCGCTGATCTGACAGGAGGTGGAGCCCAGGCCGTGAGCTATGAGAGCCGCAAACACAGAGGAAGCCTCGCTGGCCCACCCACCCGCCACGCGGCCCATCCCCCAACAGGCCACGCACCCTGCACCGGCGCCAGTCTGTGGCCTGGGACACAGGTATATGCCGTCCACCAGCAACCCAAACATCTTTATGTGGCGCATGACTAGTTGAATTAGGCTTTCTAAATATTTAATGAGAGTGAGACTCAATCACATTTTTGATAAGGTTGCAAAACCCATAAGAGAATAGCAAACTATCTTGCTTTGCATGCATTTGAGCAGTGTTCTGTGGCATGGGTGCAGTGAAATCTCAGCTCCGGTGGCAGTAAAAGTGTTTTGTTTCCAGGCCAGTGATCTCTGCCCCATTGGCCAGGATGGATGTGCTCCCTCACGCGGAAAGATGCTGGGTCAGGCTGACTCAGGGCCTGCTGCCCAAGTACCTGGAGCCTTTCTGACTGTACAGTTGCACACTTTGCTCTGTGGTCCTGCTGTTTTCCTGGAACCCTCCCTGGGGACATGACATAGGGCCCATTCTTGCCTTCTTTCAAATTCCCAAACTGCAATGATGCTTTTTACTCTCTCCCTGGAGTCCAGCCTAGCGGACGCCAGGTTGTGGTTGTACCGCTTCTTGAGAACAGACCCGCTATCTGACCCCCTTGCTGACTATACTGCCCTCCATAGGGGATGGTTCTCACCGCCCCAGGGGCAGGGTGCCAGCGTGTGATCCCCACACCACCTGGCCTTGAGGGCTTGTGCCCAGATTCCTTCCAGTGGAAAACTTCTGATATGCAGAAACCATGTCTCTTGCAACTCAAGACCTCCGCTTTTAAAACTCAGAATCTTTTCCTCATTCTACTTGCCATGTACATCCTCCCTTGAGACAGAAATGCTACAGACTGAATGGGGGGTTGGTAGGAGATGGAAGGAAATGGGAACCACAACAAGACAGCGGAAACGAAGAGGAACACTGCTTACAGTAGGGAAAACTGTTGCACCAAAAATCCTTCTCAAAACCTGCCTTTATATTGTTGTAAGATTGATTTTAATGTCCGAGGCTGTATTGCAAACCAGGTCAATATTTTGTTTGGGGCTTTTTTGAAGTTTTTCACTTTCTTTTCCTTTTTGCCAAGTACACAAACACCCCCCCCCATACCTGACTCCCAGGCAGGCGGACTGTGGTGCCTGAGAAACAGGCACAGTTAAACCCAAACTGAGCTTCTGCTTCTTGCAATAACCAGTTTGTTCGGTGGAGATTCACTTTTCAGTTTGGGCATCATGTAGGCAAAGGAAGCATTCGTGAGAGTTCCTTGTTCTGCACCTTTCGAGTGTTTGTTGTCTGTACCGTGGGTGTGGGACACACAGGTCAGCTGGGGTCGCCCTGCCCCCAGAGAGGCAGGAGTTCAGCTGGACAACACCCCCCACCCCCCGTTTTCATTGACTTTTAAAGTGGATGTTTCCGCCTCACAGACTCTGCTTCAGACGGTTGTGTCTGCTCGGGCTGTCCAGCTTTGCCCTGCGTGGGGATCGCGGCCCTGGCGCGTTCTGGGCAGCGCGGCCTTTCCAGGAATGGCTGTTACGCTTGTCCGAGTGGCTCAGGGAGGGAGAGTTTGGGCCAAAGCCGGGAAAGTACAGAGAGGCAAATTGAAGTCCAGTGTCTAGGAGGACACCCTACCACCGCCCGTGGGGGAGCAGGCAGAGGAGGGTTAGGGGAGTGGGGCCAAGGGCTTGGCGGTCAGGAGCCTGCTGGAAGGTCTGCCATGGCCGGCTGCCCAGTGCCCCTGGGCCTCGGTTTCCTCATCAGTACTGAGACGGGTGGATAATTTTAATTGGCGTATTTTAGCACCGCGGTAAGAGTTCACAAGACCTGGCTTTGAGGACAGTCACTCCCTTCCCTTCCCCTTGTATTCGGGTGTCTTCTTAGCGAGAAACACGGGAGTGAAGGCAGGGGCTTGCTTGGCAGGGCGACGGAGAAGGGAGGGTGTGGGCAAGAACTCAGTACCAAGTGCTCATTTGTTTAATTTTTAAAGAAACAAAAGTGCTTCTTCAAAAGAAAGCCTGTGAAGAAGCCCACATGTGGACCCCTGCCCGACAGAGCTGCCGCGGTGGGGTGGGGGGCCCCTTCGCACCTTAGGCCGCCTGCTGACACCGGCTCCCGGCCGTGCTCTGAACACCCCAGGGCTGGGTCTTTTTTCCCCCTAACACTCCTAACACACTTGGGTCTCTTCACAGACAGTTTAGGAGAAGGAAAATGTGGTTGTGGGACAAGGCTGCAGGCCACTGACCTGACCACGGGCTTGTGTTCCAGGTGTCTCCGTGCGAGAGGTGCCGCTGCGAGGCCAACGGCGAGGTGCTGTGCACGGTGTCGGCCTGTCCCCAGACGGAGTGTGTGGACCCTGTGTATGAGCCCGACCAGTGCTGCCCCATCTGCAAAAACGGTAGGTGAGATGCCGCCGGCCACGGGTGCACCTGCCACCCACCAAACAGTCCACGCTCTGCTCCGTGGTAGAGGGGACATGCACAGATATGTGGGTTCAACACACATATCCACACACATGCACATACACATGTGTATAGTCCTGAGGCCTCAGGGTGCAGTTGGGGTTGCTCTGTAGTGAGGCGTCTCTCTCTTGCTGGCTTCAGCTCCATGTTTTATGGATGTTAAGAAGTTCTTTGGGGAGAAATTCAATTCTACCTTTGAGGAGAGTCACTTATTTTAATTTAACTTTGTTTGTTCTTGCAAATCTGTTTCTCTCTTTCCAAGACAAATCAAACATGCTGGTTGGACTCATTTACTTTTCATTACTAAGTGAATTAAACTTGGGATGTAATTGAATATTTTTCATAAGTAAATTAGGCAGGAAGAGAGCCCCTTATATTCCCAGTGAGAGCCCCGGGTAGATCAGAAGCTGCACCTGCTTTATGAAACAGAAATGGCAGGATGTCCTTGATCCTAATTTATCATGGAGGAGTGTTTCCTCATCCTGCAACGAGAATTACTCTGTACCTGAGGTACTGAGGGCATCACTCTCTGACAAGGCATTTGACGGGAGTGCATTCCCAGGCACGCCGGGCTGGAGAGTGCTAGGTCCAGCTCGGAAGAGAGCAGGCTCCGGAGACAGGACCGCGGCCTTCCAGTGCCTGAGTGTCTTCCCTACAGCTGGGTTTAGGCTTTCTTGATGTACCCTCTGGCATGCTGCTAGGACTCCTGAGTGGAGCATGCAGGGCTAACTTGTGACATTGCCAGCCTCGAACTGAGGGTTGCTGGGCCAGGGCTTGCTCACCATGTGGTGTGGGCTTTCTGAGTGGCAGGCAAGCCTGGGATCCACAGGGGTGTTCATGGTGTCAGGATGATTCTGAGAGTCTGCAGATGTGCCGGTCAGAATCGTGTGGGCCCTGAGGTACCACAGACACCTTCAGCCAGGTGTCCACATTTATCCAAATTTTACCACAAGACATTGCAAACTCTTGAGATTAAAAAGAAACAAACAAACAAAAAACAGGAAGAAGAAATGAAGTTGAAGTTGCTGTTGAAGAAGGATAGTCCTGGAAGAATAAGGTCACTCCATTAGGAATGTCACAATTGTGGAGCCATAATATATCCAGTTCTCTGAATGTAAGTGGACAGTGTCCAAAGAAATATGTCAAAGAGTGTACTTTACATGGGACCAGCTGTTTATTCGTGTGTATTAATTACGATGAAACCATGAGGTAGAAGGCCGTTAGATGAGGGTGAGGAGGAGGCCTTCAGCATGGACTACACATGCTCTTCCAAAATAATGCCATCACACCCGAGCCGCGAGGTGGAGGGAAATCAGGCCAGTTGGCTCTGCTGCTGTCAATTAGGAACAGTGGGGAGGAAGACTGGGGATGGGCAGGAGGGCAGGTAGAGAGGCTGGAGGGCCTCGCTGAGGCTGGGTGTGGCCTTACATGGCCGGTGAGGAGCCTGAGTGTGCCCCTCCCGTCTGTTAGGAGACCCCAGGGCGGCGTTCACACTGCGTGCCCTGCCTAGGCGGGCAGGACTGGAGACCCCCTCTCACGGAGTCAGCTGGTTCAGTGAGTGGCTTAAACATGGGTTGCTCAAATATTTGGCATCTTAAGCATCTAAGATATTCCATGTTTCTCTTGTCAATTATGATTACAAAGAAAGCTTTGGCATTTGGATAGCCGGGGAATCCTAGTTTGGGTGTTTACACTAGTTGAGAAGACAGGATTTCAATCCTTGAGTCTTTTGTGATTGCTTTTTCCCTTAGAAAAATTTCAGACCTACTGAAAAGTTGAAATAATCATACAGTAAGGAATTGTAAACCCTTCATTCTCCTTGCCTATTATTAATGTTTTGCCATGTTCGCTTTGTCTCTTTCTGTCTTGGCTTTGGCCCCTTGCTCCCTGTCTCTGTATGTGCGTAACCCAACAGCATCAGTACATTCACTTATTTGCTCTTTCCCATGAGGTGCACAGAATAACCTACCCCTACCACCACCAACATGAACCCTCCTGAGCAGGGTTCGGGATTTTTCACAGCTCTTTTTGCTTTTATCCTACCTAGGGTATAGAGTCAGAGAACCTCAGTTACAAGTTATTTAAATTAGTTGTTTGTCATGCTGGGATATGTTAAAATTTATAAAGATTTAAAACATTTTGTAGGCGAGGCGCAGTGGCTCATGCCTGTAATCCTAGCACTCTGGAAGGCCGAGGCTGGCGGATCATTTGAGCTCAGGAGTTTGAGACCAGCTTGAGCAAGAGCGAGATCCCATCTCTACCAAAAATTAGCCAAGCATGGTGGCACATACCTGTAGTCCCAGCTACTTGGGAGGCTGAGGCAGAAGGATTGCTTGAGCCTAGGAGTTTGAGGTTGCTGTGAACTAGGCTGATGCCATGGCACTGTAGCCGGGACAACAGAGTGAGACTCTGTCTCAAAAAATAAAAAAAATAAAATTAAAAATAAAATAATTTGTATTCAACTTTTGTCATTTAAGATATAATTTTATTTTTTGAGTAAGCAAAAATGTTCAAAAATGAGAGTGATATAAATATGGTATGCTCAAAGATTCAGTGTATTTTAAAGTTGCATTGATGGTTTTGGGAGGTGGTTGTTGCCTGGTGGTGTTCTTCCTTTACCTCTACACTTTGAGAGGCAGTATGGGATGAACTAAGGCAAGGTTTTTGTGGTGGCACATTAGAGACTTTTAGAGGGAACATGAATATGTTTTTTAAAGCTAGATTTATATTACAGAAGGATTTATATGAAAAGGCTTGATCCAATAATACCAAACATCAACAACTTCTTATTTCCAAGAATACAACTGAAAATAAATTTAAATGTGTCTAATCAGGTATTTACTATTAAATTTTGTTTTATTCTTCAGATAGAACATGGCTTTCAACTGTCTCTAGTTGTAGTGTATTCTGACCTTGCCAGGGCAAACTGGGTTTGAAATTCTTAGTAAAAGAAAGCTGCTTAAAAAACGAAAACTGTTTTGTAAAAATTGAGTGAGATTAATGAATAATTTACAGTAATCTAACTGTGCCTCCACACACGAATGATATTTTCCTCAATAAATTATATGTCTGATATAGCACAGATTAGAGAACATCAAAAATGCATGCTTTATATGAAATTAAAAGCTTGGATAGACTTAGCTCGGATAAAACATGAAGATTTTAACTGCTGATCTCTGTAGACCGGCCTTTGCACCCCACGCTGACATGTCTCGACCCGTAGCATTAAATAGCTCTTTCTCCGACAGAAGGGAAATTACAGTTCAGTTGCAGCCTGCCAAAGTCACTTGCATCAAAGGAGCAAAAGTTGGAAACCAAGAATGCCTTGAATATAAATAAATGATCACAAATCAAATACAGTCTAATATATTCACTTTGTTGACTTGTGTAGATCAATCTCCCATGGTTTTTCTCTTGATAAATGGATGTTTGCATGGTGCTGTTTTTTGTTGTTGTTGTTAATTTTTTCCCCCACAATGATATAGACAGTGAGTGTTATATTGACTTTCAAAAATTCAGGTTGTCTCTAGTGATGGTTGAATACACTCATTGCATTCAAGCCCCTTAGTTTTAGTAGACGTGCTTATTGGTATTAAGTAGCTACAAAGCTCCCATTAGCAATCAGAAGACTCCCTTCTGCAGGTGTGCACGCCATCTCTCTGTATGGACACAAAGGAAGAGAATTGATAAAAGTAGGACATCAGTGTTGAAATACGAGGGCCTTGCTGGAATTGGCTGTGCTTCTCAAAGGTGGAGTGTGCTGCCCTAAGGGGGGAGATGACAGGTAGCAGAGGCACGAGGCCCTGGGCGTGGAGATTGTATAGCTCCCTGAAGTGTCACTGCTACTTGGTGATCATTATTTGTAACATTATTTTCACAAGAGAGTAAATGTGGTTATTTTTTGGAGGAAAATGAAAAACTTCTATAAAATTTTTAAGAGAAACACTGATGCTTCAAATTATTAGATGTACTTTTGTGGAAAATATGTGAGAAGCACTGACTTGAGAATTAGGCAGAGTTTTTGTTTGTTTTGCTGTGTATTTCAGAGAGTAGGATAAGATCATACTTAAACTTCATGTTGGACAAAGCTTAGTGCGGTGTGTGGAGGCAGTGTGATTCACACCAAGATCCTCTCACAAGAGAAAAGCCTGCTCCCATCTGGCACTCCCACATGGCCTCACCATTGAATCTCTCTAAGTTTTTTACGTAAGAAGTAACACCAATCTTATGGAAACACGCTGTCATCATTTACAGATGACATGATCGGGTCCATAAAAAAATAAAGGAATGTGCAAATACTGGAATGAATAGCTGATATTAACAAGGTGGGTTAGCAAGATCAGTGCTTAAATACCAGCTATAGTTCTGTACACCAGCAACAAACAAGTAAAAAAGAATTAAAAACTACAGTTTTAAATCACATCATACAAATCAGATACTTAGAGGTAAATCTAACAAAATTGGGCAAGATTTTCATGCTTAAAAACAATAAAGCTTTATTGAAAGAAATTAAAGAAGACCTAAGTATTAATAAATGGAGGGATATACCATGTTCATGATTGGAAGACTCAATAATGCAAGAATGTCAGTCTGCTTCAAATTAATATATTGATTCAGCACAATTCCAGACAAAAAAACAATGATTTGTGTGTGTGTGGAAATGACTGGATTTTAAAATCTAAATGGGAATACAGAAGTTTTTTTTTTTTTTTTTTTTTTTTGGTTTTTATTTTTTTTTTTATTTCGGGATATTATGGGGGTACAGATTTTAAGGTTTCAATAAATGCCCATTTCCCCCCTCCCCCCAAAAGTCTGACAGGCCCATGAAATATCCAGGAAGAATAGCAAAGTTGGAAAATGTCTGCTACATTGAGATATTAAGACATGTTCAAAGTCATAGTAAATAACACACTGCAGTTTGGTCCTCAGGATAGAT